GGGGGGGGGGTCAATTACCCATGGTTTTGACTTTTGGTTGTTGACTTTATAGGTTGTATTGCAGCGCATGCCTGTTTCCATGACTAAGGTGCGACTGTGTCTTTGTGCTTCGTCTGTCAGGACATAAACACAGTTCCAGCATCCTGAAATTACCTCCCAAGAAGCTTCGGCCTGCCCATCTTTCCCTGTCCTGCAGCGCTGAACCATCCACGCCGAGTCCGGCTGATGACAACCAGGTGGTCCCCTCATTCCAACATCTCTCGCTGTACGAGTGCAGCAGTCCGCCGGAGACTCCGGACAGGTGCTCCAAGCCTCTGCCGCCCATCCCGCTGCGTAGTGACATCTCATCCGAGCAGGCCATGGACAATGAGGTGGAGTTGTTCACCAGCACGGACGAGAGCTGCTGCCTGGTGTCGGATCAGTGTTCCAAACCCTCTCCTTTTCGGACCGGACTTCCCAGTCGGAGAAGTTTAAGGGACTGCGGACAGATTAACCACGCTTACTATGACGGGCCTTTAAGTCCGAGGCAACCCCAACCTCAGCAGTTTCCCGTGCTTCCCCCGCAGCAGAAGGAAATGCAGCAGCAGGAACTACCAGCGGTCTGCCAACGGCAGCGGGACAAAGCTCAAAGGAAACTACATCGTTCTCACTCCGGACCAGCCGGATCTTTAAACAAGCCTTGCCAACTGCGCTTCAAATACACCGCCTTCAACACAGATCACAAAATGGAGGTTCCTCCGCCGATTCCGCCGCGACCAACCAAGACGGCAGATCCCACACACTCTCAGAGAGGTAGTCATTCAATGTTATTGTGATTATTATGATTGTGTTTGCAGGTTCGTTTTTCATATTTTGGTTACTTTATTTGATAATGCGCCTTGTAAGAAACATCTCGAGGAATTAAAAAGACAACCGCAGTTGAGAAGATGTTCGTCTTGCTATGCATTATGGAGCACAGGTCACAGTTCTCATTGCGTCCCGTTCGTACGTTAGTGACATTGCTTGACTCTCAATATATATATATATATATATATATATATA